GTTTTCCAGTGGGAATGGATCTTTATTTGCATCTTTTCCCAGTTTGCCTTCTAATCTTGGGATCCAGAGAGAAGGAACTCCGAGCTCCTAGGCCATCCGGGAAAAATAATTAAATTTGCTCCCCCCAACCCTACTCCTCTCCTTTATTGATTTTTCCCCCCTCTGGTCTTGGATAGGATTTTCTATTTCAACTAGGACTCTGGGGGTAAGTTTTTAAGTAGCCCTTCAAAATTGATTGAGCCCACAACAAAGACCAACAAATTGAACTCATGGAATGAATGAATAGAAAATAGTAATATTAAATCCATGAAATATATTCTTAGCACCCACACAAAAAAATGGACAACACTGTGAAACTCTAGAAAAGGATATATCTCTTTAACTAGATTTAAGATTTCAAAGAAATTCTATAAAAGTAGCTATTTATTATTAAACAGAACAAGACAGGATTAAAAGAAATGACCATGACATAAAAATTGACGTAGATCAAATAAAATTAATACTGAAAACGGTCAAAAGGAACAGACAGTAAAGATTATCTGAAGTTATACAGAAGATGATTGTGACATATCCAAAACATGAAGGAAGTAAGCAAATAATCTAGAAAAATGTGAACAACAACACAAAAAAAGATGATCAGAATGTGGGATAGAATATATAGAGAGCTACTTTATGAATAACTAATCATTCATGCAGAGTAGGATGAAAACCCTTTCAACTTTTCAGAATCAGAGAAACTTAAAATCAAATATGGATCTCATTGAATCCTATAAAAACTAAATAAATAGTAATTAACCTCAAAAAACACCCTGTAATTAAAATAAATAAAAATTATACATGCAACCTGTTTAATAAGACAACTAGTTCCAGAAGACATAGCAAGGAAAAGATGTTTCCGTTTTAACCTCAGTTTTTATTCCTCAGAGGTAATAAGCATTTGAAACTCCTGACAGTTTTTGACAAGATCTTAAATATCTAAATATGTAAGTTCCAAATATCATACGTAAACTGCTATTTTCTTGGCCTGTTTTTCAGTGTTACATATTATCTATTGACTTCTTGCTTTGATCGATGAAGACTGAGCTACCTCCACCCTGTTTAAATACCCACTCCCCTCTATTCTCTCTCTTCTTAAAAAATTCTTATAATTTGGAGTAAGATAAATGTACCATGTTATTTATTCCCGGTTATTTGAATCAGGCTGGCTTATTACTCATTCTGGAGGCTGTTGTCATCTGTTCTTTATTCTCAGTGTTCTTAAATTATAGTATGAAAAAGCCTGAGTAATTCCACCCCCCATTCATTGTGCTGAGCCATCTGCTCACTTTGGAAATTCTTATCCTTGGAGTCTATGAAATCTTCAGTTTTCTCTCTTCTCCTTTAGCAATTCCTACTATTTGGACATTGGGTGTCATGGACTGACTATCACATTTTCTTAAATTTTTCACTCCTATTTTTCCTTTTTTTGTCTTTTGGCTGCACCTTCTAAGAGATTTTGCCAATGTTATAGTTCAATGCCATTCTTTCTTATATTTCTTTTGGTATTTTGAGTTTCTTATTTTTACTTTTCAAGAGCTTTGTGTTGTCTTGTTCTCTGAGTAGTCCTCTTTATAACAGCCTCCTGTTCTTGTTTCATGCATACATAGCATTGTCTCATCCACTAACAAAAGTGTTTTGACATATTCTTTGGCTTCTTGCATTGAAATCTTTTCACTTGAAAATTATTTTCTTTGTTTTGTTTTCTTTGGGTGGGTAATTTTCCAGTTGGGGCACTTCTCAAATTTCTCATGGGGTGACTGCTAATATTAATAAGTAAGGCACAAAAAAAAAAACTGTCTGGGAGTGGATTTCCATTCAATAGGCAGATTTTCATTTCAAAGCCAATTTTTATCTTGGCACATCTTCCCTAAACTCAACTTCATGTCCTCAAGTCTGGAATATCTTTGTTTTATTCTCTTGATAAATTATACATCCAGATTTGCGTTAGGTGGGAGATAGGCAAATGCCAGTTACCTGACTCAGGAAAGAATGGGGTGTTCAAATTTTTTTAAAGTAGGCTTTCAATCAATTTCCAGCCCTAGAGGTATTCTCTTTTCAGTGAAATTGGTGCCTCCATTTTGAATCTTTCTGGTGGATTCTGTTTCTAATCATCTGTCCTTTGGTCTGTCAGCTTCCTCAGTTCTGTGAAGTCAAACACTTGGAACCTCTCTACATAAAAAATCCCCTAACTTCATTGCTTTGCCATTCCCATTGTACTGGATAAAATGGTGGTAAAGAAATAAGTTCAGTTCTTACTAAACTAGAAGTTTAAATGTTTTAACCTAAAAAAAAAAAATCCTACAGTTACTGGTCTAGGGATGGCAAGGAAAAAGAAAGGCAGATTACTTCTATTGCATTGAAAAGTGAGGCTAGTTTAGATTCGTCTTTTGCAATTACAAATCGCTTTGCTTCTGGTCTAAGGCCTCTCTCATCCTTCACTTTTCACCTTTACTTCTTGGATAATGTCAGTTTCCCCCTAAACTTCTTGATTAAATGGAACTCTTAGGTCAGGCCTCTGGCTTCCCGTTAGGCCATATTTGTGAGTTACTAAGGATGGCTCTCTTCCACAAAATAACCTCAGCAGAGTCTGACATTCTGTCCTTCAGTAGTGAAGCACACACTTTGTGTCTAGAGGCTTTTACAATTTCACAATTCCTTATCAAAATGCAAATGTCTGTAGATGGGATAACCTCCCACGCGATTAGCACGCACTGTGGTCAAGAAAGCCCAGAGCCAGAGGGACGTGCATCTGATCACATATACTGACCTTTAACATTATAGCATTTTTCAGTTTTGGCTTTTATGTTGAATTGCTTTAATTGAGCCATTTATTTTACCACAGTGCTTTGCCTTTGGCTAATACTTTTTGCTTCCATTATTCTAAAAGTTTTCTTGTGGGTTTATCTTTCTGTAGCCATTTTCCTTTGGTTTTGTAATTTCTTCCTATCCACTTTTGTAAAGCTTCAGCTTTACACTGCTGGGGCATTTTGAATATTTCAATTGACTTGAAAGCTATTTTAGGCTGAATTGTTCATGTTTCCCTCTCAACCCTCAGCCTCAGTTACCGATGGGCGGGCTATGTTACCAGATCAGGGATCACCTCCTCACTCTGTCTATTTCAGGTTCCCTGATGACTCACTCACAGATGAGTCATTAATTAAATAATACAGATTATGAAACAAGACTCTGATTCCTTGTTAGCACTCTTACTCATTCCTAAATAAACATCATGCTACAACAGCAGCATAACAGAAATAAAATGAGGCAAGGCCAACTTAAAGCAATCAATGTCACAAAATGTTAATTTAAAATATTAGCAGCCAAATTCTGAATCCAATATAAAATTGTTTCAAATTTAAAACTTCTGGATCTGAAAGGGAAAATTCCTTGAAATCAGATGATTTAGCTTATAAGAACAAAGTCTCTAAAGTGTATTTTTCTATTACGTACTCACACATATTAAGCAGTTTAAAAAAATAGATTCATTTGAATGTTCTCTTGGGGAAAAGGCAAAATACTGTATTCTAGTCATTTAATTGAAAATACCTTTGCAATGATCATATCTAATCCATTTCCCCAGTGGTTTTCATGCAGGAATATTTTTCAAGTAAAGCATGCTTTTCACACGTAAAAATAGAAGGAAAATGGTTAAAAAATTAAGATCATTAACTTCCCACTAGCTACTCCATGCTCTTAGAATTTTTAAATTACGCAATCCTCCATGAAAAGCTTATCTTTATAATAGTTTTCTCCTTTATTTCAACCAGTTACAATTAACTATAACTTAGTTACCCTCTTGACAACTGTAGCAATCTTTATCAAGCCCTCCTCATGTCTACTGTCATTTTTCTGTGCAAAAATACACAACCAGAATTCATTTTATCTTTTTTTTAGTACAATTCATATTTAAACTAAACTAAACTGTTTAAATGGAATTTTCCTTTATAATTGAGTACATGTATCATTTCCTGAGGATGTTGTACGTGGTGTAGTGAGTGTGTGTTTTTTAATGAAATTGAAGCAAGAACAGTTAATGTTCAGAAAATTGTATTTATTTATTACGGAAGACTAAAGATCACTTTAAATCATAATGCGACTCTAATATCCAGGTTGATATTTTTCAAAGTCTAAGTGAAATTATTTTAAGAGAATATTTTGTCACCCATGCCTGCTCCTGAGAGCTGAAGGACCCTTGTCTTGATTTATCTTTGTGTTTATTTCAAAAGCTCCTGGCATTTGACAGAAACGTTTTGTGGTTTGTGCTTTAAGAGTTATGCAGTGGTCGGCAGCCCTAAATTGGCTCTGACTTGACCACAGGAACAAACCTGTGCAGATGAGAACTGAAGATGTCTTAAAGCTACCTTTATTTCATTATCGCGGTAGGATAACCCAGGGTGGGGGTTTGTGCTCTACTAGACACCATTTGCGCCCGGTGCAAAGTAAAAAGGAAGCTTGCGTGCCCTGGCTGCCCTCCCCTGCACCTGGGAATCTCTGTCCTTTCCCTAAAGCCCTGATGACACCTGTCTCCTACCCCTTACGTTTCCCTTCCTCCTCTCCCTTTAAGGAGAAGGCTATTTTTCAGAGCATGTGCTCTCCCTCTCCATTTCTTTATCAATAAATTAGGTTTCTGCTCTGCTACATTGAACCTGACTTCATTTGATTGGCATTTGTGACTCCAGTGGGCAAAGGACCCACTGAGGGATCACTGACCTGTTGGGGATTGGTAAAAATATCACATGAATTTATTGATTAGGGTGTTCAGTTAATAATTTCTATGTTTGTAATGTGAAGGATTCACTAGATTACTAATCTATACTTTAGATAAATGTAAGATTAAAAACAAGTAGGTAATGATGCCTTGTATGATAAAGTTACTATATACAGCAAGTGCTCATTTTCTATGCCAAAATTCCTCGTTCTTCTGCACTCAAATTTACCTTTGGTTTTTTCAAATCTAGAAAATATCAGACATGTGAGAGAGCTAGTCTCAACTGTAACCTTCAAGATATTAATAAACATGGCTCTTTATTTATTTATTATTTATTTATTTCGGTATAGCACTAATTAGAATCACCGATTTAGCCAACTTACCAACTGTGCTGTAAACTCACTTTGAGGCTAGTGCCACATCTACATGTTTGAAGCTCAAAGCAGAGCTCACTAATAGCTCATAGTGTTCCATATCTGGAAGATTTGCAAAGTGTGTTGCTTAACTAATTAAAAATTATGATGGATGTAGCACTTCAGTTTATGTAGCTGTTCATGAACATTGATCTAAAATATTGCTCAGAAAAAAAAAACTATGGATTTAATTACCTCAATTGTACCTTAATTCAGTTAAAACAAATTATTAACTTTTCAGTGTAATTTCACTTTTACATTAACATGAATAAATAATTTTTGTTATGCTTTATGAAACATAATAATATGAACATAAGACTCATCTATATAGATGTATGTATATACTTAACATATGTATATTGAAGATTATTTATTTATACAGGTGGACATAAATTATTAGCTATAATTTGTATAATTAGCTAAAAGAATCTAGAGTTCATAGTGTCAGTAACCTAAAAGCCTAGATCCTCAGTCTTCTTTAAAATATGGAAGTAATAATAAATATCTTCCTTGCCTCTTGCAAAAATTTGGTAATCTTCAACAGAGGTGGTGCATATAAGAATAGTCTAAGTAATGAGAAATAAGTGTAAAAAATTATTTTATGAGGAATGTATTATGTTAAATATACATTTAAGCATTCAAATATTAACATAAAATACAAATATATATGCATAGTTTTCCCTGTGACCTGGTAGATGACTTTTAATTTAGCTGAAAGAGCTTGACTAAAATTTCAGAGATTAAAATTAAAATATATATAATTACATCAACAAAATTAAAAGACAACATATTGAATGGGAGAAAATATTTGCAAAACATACATCTGATAAGGAGATAATATCTAAAATATATAAAGAGCACATACAACTCAATAGCAAAAAAACAAACAACCCAGTGAAAAGATGGGTAGAAGATCTGAACAGATATTTTTCCAGAGAAGACATACAGATAGCCAACAGGTACATGACAATATGTTCAACATCATTAATCACCAGGGAAATGCAAATCAAAACCACATTAAGATGTCACCTCACCAACTTGTTAGAATGGCTATTATTAAAAAGACAAGGAATAGCAAGCATCGGTGAGGACGTGGAGAAAAGGGAACCATTGTACACTTGGTGAGAGAGTTAATTGGTGCAGCCATTATGGAAAATGGTATGGGACTCGGCAAAAAATTAAAAATAGAACTACCATATGATCCAATAGTTCCACTTCTGGGTATTTGTCTGAAGAAAAAAAACCCACTAACTTAAAAAAGATAAAGTAGGACAAAGCTGGAAGTAACATGCTCCCTGATTTCAAACTACAGTACAAAGTTACAGTTACTACAGCAGTGTAGTACAGGTACAAAAACAGACACACAGATCAAAGGAACAGAACAGAGAGTCCAGAAATGAACCCACAGTTATATGATCAATCAATCTGCGACAAAGGAGGCAATAGGGAAAAGACAGACTCTTCAATAAGAAGTGCTGGGAAAAGTGGACAGCTACATGCAAAAGAACCACACTGGACTACTTTCTCCCACCATATAAAAGAAAACTCAAAATAGATTAAAGACTAAATGTTAAGACATGAAATCATAAAACTCCTAGAAGAAAACATACTTAGTATGCTCTCTGACATCAGTCTTAGTGCTTTTCTTTTGGACATGTCTCCTCTGGCAAGGGAAACAAAAGCAAAAGTAAACAAATGGGATTACATCAAACTAAATGGCTTTTCACAGTGAAGGAAACTATCGACAAAATAATAAAAAGTCTGCCTACTGATGGGAGAAGATATTTACAGATGATATACGCCATAGGGGTTAATATCCAAAATATACAAGGAACTCATACAATTCAATATCAAAACAACAAATAATGTGATGAAAAAATGAGCAGAGAATCTAAACAGACATTTTTCTAAAGAAGAACTACAATAGGAGCACAAAAGGATGCTCAACATTGTTAATCATCAGGGAAATTCAAGTCCAAACCACAATTAGATATCGCCTCACACCTGTCAGAGTGTCTATTATCAGAAAGACAACAAATAATAATGTTGGCAAGAATGTGGAGAAAAGGGAACCCTAGTATACTGTTGATGAGAATGTAAGTTGGTACAGCCATTATGGAATACAGTATGGACACTTGTCAAAAAATTAAAAATGAAACTACCACCAATCCAGTGATTTTACTTTTGGGTATTTATCTGAAGCAGCAAAAACACTAATTTGAAAAGATATATGCACTCCAATGTTCACTGCAGCATTACTTACAATAGCCAAGATATGGAAGCCAGCTAATGGATGAGTGGACCCAGCAATGGATGAATAAAGAAAGAAAAAAGTTGTCTTATTCATACACACACACACACACACACACACACACACACACACACAGGAATATTATTCAGCCATAAAAGAGAATGAAATATTGCCATTTGTGACAACATGGGTGGATTTAGAAGGTATTATACTAAGGGAAATAAGTCAGACTGAGAAAGACAAGTAATGTGTGATTTTTCTTATGTGTGGAATCTAAACAAAACAGAACAAACAAAATTCATAGATACAGAGAAGAGACTGGTGATAATTGCCAGAGACAGGATGTGGGAGAAATGAGTTGGGGGGGGGTCAAAAGTTAAAAAAAAAAGGAATAGCAATAACTACAGCCAGATAGTAGTTGATTGAAATATATTTGATATATATAGTTGATTTGAATATATTTGCATATATTTGAATAAGAAAAATGAGACATTCAGGAAAAAACGACAGACTCCTAGACCAGAAAGACGATGTGTATTTAAATCTTAAACCCTCAGGAAATAATTTTAAAAAAAGCCTAAAATGTATTGACATGTGTTTTGTACATGCTGCATTAGCTCCTGATCCTGACAACAACCCAAGAAACTAGGAGCTATTAATCCTATTCAACAGATGAGTAAACTGAGTTTTAGTGAAGGTGAGAAAGTTTCAGAAGTTGTACAGCTAGTAAATAGTGCCAGGATTCATCTCCGTTTTCTATCAGAACTGCAAAGCCCATGCTCTTTTGTTATGCTGCCTCAAAAAAAAAATTATATAGTGAATATTGTTATTTTGAGGTTCTAATATGTGTTTGTGCCTGTGTGTGTATGTGTATATGTATGGTGTGTCTATAGAGATATGTAATATGTATAATATTTATATTCTTAATATGTTTCATAACCTAACATAAATTAATAAAATAATGCTGTCAAATAATAATCTATTTTGAAAGAAGCAAAGCAAAAAGAAATTTTTTTAAGACATAAACTTTGACATGAACTTATAAGATGTATTTTAGTAAGAAAAATTATATTCAGTACACTTGTAAGGAAAAACAGTTCTTGGTAAACATTAAAGAAATAACAAATGTTTTTATTTGTACAAATTTCTGACTGATTTAATAAGCAGCATCTAGAAAATATTTTAACAGCTTTATTAATTGTTGAGAAGAGAGAGGATATCTTATCTACTGTAATAGGAAAAAAAATTAATGTAATTACATTTACTAATAGATTTGGTTGTATTTCAAACCATCTTCCTTATTTTGTGCCCGTGGTTCAATTAGTTCTACTTTCTACATCTTGACAGTTGAGGTCACTGATGAGGTTAACCAAATCCTTAGATTTTATTTGTTATTAATGTATGCTTACACATCTTCATTCTGCAAGCACCTGGTTATCTCAGATTGTTCTAAATCTAAGAGAGACTGATTCAGTTCTTAAATAGGAATTCGTAAAAGAAGCTCCGTTTCCTTGTTACGTCCAGCACTGTCATTCTGGCTTTGCTTTTGATGTTGTAGAACATCAATAAATAAGTAAGAAACCAAGGCTCAGTGGGTATAAGTAACTTGCCAAAAGTTACAGTTAGTAGATTGTGATCCCAGTATTAACATAGGCTATTTCAGTTTTGTTAATTCTTTCCCCAGTGATCTTCATTTCACCTAATTTCACCACAGTTATTCACTCTTATGGCTATAGACTTAACACTGACAAAAACTGCAACCCCTACATAATGTCAGTTTCAATTAGTCCCCCTCTAAACTTCATCTCCTGTGCCTCCAATTAGTTCCCTTTAGAGCCATACTCCAACAATTCTTTGACCCCATTGGAGCCATCAATCCATTAGTCTTACTGTTTTTGCTCTATTTCTCCTTGTCCTTATGTGTTTTCTTGTCTCCTAAACTGGTTTAAAATTCATGGGTAATTATAATTACATTGTATACACTCTCAACTCCTTTCCCTCTCCCCAGTTTATCATATTCATTTGACAAAATTCCAGCCTAGATTAAACCCTATTCTTCATCACATCCACATAGCTGAAAGTGGCTGGATAAAAACTCACAGTCATGGTGGCCCTTTAATGGTGTCTGGAAATCATACTCTTTCTCCCTAGTTCATTCTCTTTCCTACTATCTTAGATGATTTTTCAATTTTTCTTTTCTTTCCTCAAATATACCGTAACTTTTTCATATGTTCAGTTTCAGCATATGATCTTAACTCCTGTTTTATCTAAAATAAGCTGAAGCTTTCAGAAAATAACTTCCATAAGCTCCTACCACTACGTCTACCCCTGCGTCTGATTCTCTGTGAAATAGTCTACTTTCTCGTCCATTACTATGAGTGAATTATCTGTGTTCTTCACTAAGACCAAGTCCTCTATTTGTACCTTAGAATCCACCTGTCCTTGCCTGCTCAAGGGCATCTCCTTTCTCTCCAGCATCACCATGTTTCTTCTCTAGGGAACATTTATCAGCTCATAGACATGTTATTTCTCTTATATTTTGATCTTATATCCCTCTAGCTACAGTCTCATTTCTATCCTTCCCTTTACAGCAAAAATCCTTGGAAGAGTCATCTATTCGTGCTGTCTTCAACTTTCCTCTTTCTGTTCTTTCTTAACACACTCAAATTAAGTTTTCACTCCCATTTGCAACTGCTCTTGTGAAGATCTCCAATGACCACCATGTTGTTAAATCCAGTGGGGATTTCTAATACCTAATCATATTTGATTTATAAACAGTATTTTGCCAGTTGATCACTCTTCCTTGAAGCCATTTGATACTTGGCATTTAGAACTCACCTCATTTTCCTTCTTTCCAGCCATTTATTTCTGTCTCCATTGATTCCTTCCATCTCATCCATTTCTATAGATCACAGAGACCTGGAGCAGAGTTCATTGCTGGCATTTCTCTTATTCTTCTATCCTCACTGTCTAGGTGTTGACATTCTCTAGTGATGGTGATGAGCTTAAATACCAACTTAATCCTAATAGCTTCCAAATTTATATCTTCATCCTGTTCCTCTCTGAATTCTAGACCAGCAAATCTGTCTACTTAACAATCCCACTTGTAGATTTAACAATAAACACCTCCAGATTAATATGTTAAAACCTGAGTTCTCCTTTGTCTTCCACCAGTGTTCTTCTACCAGTCCTCATCTCAGTAATGATAATTCCACTTTCTGGCTGCTAGAGCCTAAAAGCTCAATGCCATTGTTGATTCCTCCATTTCCTTCACTCTCCACAATAGCAAGTCCTATTGACTCTACCTTCCAAGTATATCTGAAATTTAACTGCTTGTGACCACCCCCAGGGCCAGTCCACGCACGTCTTGCCTGGATTATTGCCGTAGTCACCTAAATGGTCTTGTGTTTCTGCCCACTCCCATTCTCAATCAGTAATCATAGAGATCCTGCTAAAATGCAAGTCATATTATGTCATTTCTCTTTTCATTCCAAGTGAGATCCTGCAAAGTCCTCTGTAATATAACATCCATTACATCTCTGAACTAATTTCTTACTCTTCTCCTCCTTGTCCTCTCTTTTCAGCTGCTGGGCTGAGCACTGAGTAGGTGAGCCTACTTCCTCACTCAGGTATTTGCAACTGATGCTCGTCATGCATGAAAATTCTCCCATGGATATTATCAGGGCAAACCCCTCACTTCCTACTTCCTTCAGATCTTTCTCAAAGTTACCTCCACAGGCATCTCCACTCTTGCCAACACTTCATATCCCTGTTCCTAACTTTATTTTTTTTAAATTTGTCAACCTGTCATATAACATGTCTTTTTTAAATTGTCTGCCTCTTCTATTTGGATGCAAGCTCCATGGGTACAAGATGTTTTGTCCCGTGTGTCTGTGTGTGTGTGGTTTTGTGTGTATGTGTATTGTGATTTCATTTGTTTTGCTTTTATTCCTAAATCTAGAATTGTTCCTGACACACAGTAGGGTTCTATAAATATTTGCTAAATAAATGAATGCATAGAGGAACTTGGCATTATCTTGTTCCAAAAATTCATGTAATTTCTGTTGTTTAAATCGTAGTCAACAATCACACAAAT